ATTTATATATGTACTATGCATGTTTTAGTTGTCAAAACTTGTGTTGCTTTTTTTTTAAACAAAATTCGAGTCTAGTTCGAAAAACATCTGTTCAAAGTTTGTTGATATTTGAAACAATAGCTGTGCAATCGTAGACTCTAGAAATCTGCAGTCATAGGGCATTCGATTGGTCATTGAATTACGCGCACGTCGATTTGGGTTAAGCTGTATTGGAATTGGTTTTATTTAATTTATCAAAAAATAATAATTATTTTTTAATTTTTTCCTATAAAAGTTATAATCGTTACGGTCCCTGGTAAAAACAACAAATTAACAAGCCAACATAAAATGGGAAAAGCTACTATATTAAGCTTATTGGAACGTCAAAAAATAGACTTGTTTCACTCACAGGGACTCTCTAACAGAAATATTGCCAAAAAGATAAAGCGCAGCTCCAGAACTGTTGATAGATATGTGAAAGATCCAGAGGCATATGGATCACAATTTAAAGGGAGAAGACGAGCACTTACTTCCCGAGATGAGCGTAAAATTGTCCAACTTGCATCGGATTCGACTAAGTCTGCAGCTAAAATTAAGGAATCAGCCGGTGTAAGCGCCAGCCTTTCAACTGTTCAGCGTGCAATTAGGAATGCAAAAGCAAAAAATCTTGACCCTCTGAAACTGAAGGAAAAACCACCTCTAAATGCTATACGTATGGAAAAGCGGCTGCAATATGCGAAAGAACACATGACATGGACAGTTCAATCTGACACCCGACTCAATGATTGGCGTTCGGTTGTTTTTACTAATGAAAAACGCTTTAATTTGGATGGCCCTGATGATTTACGAAAAGATGATCACAGCCGTGACGGTGGAGTCATGGTGTGGGGCGCCATCACATTTTATGGAGCAATAGATTTAGTTTTCATAGATCAGAAGATGACCGCTGAACGCTTCAAAACTTTGTTGCAATCCGTTTTCCCCAAGATTAACGACCTCTTCGGACCATTGCCATGGATATTCCAGAAGGGTGATGCTCCGATCCATAATGCCCGAGCTGTGAAGTCATTTATTACGAGTGAAAATGTTCAGGTCATGATTCGGCCGCCGCATTCCCCAGATCTAAACATAATTGAAGATGTTTGGGGATGGCTTTCAAGGAAAGTTTTTGAAGGGGGTAAACAATACGAAGACAAAGAAACACTAACAGCTGCACTTAAACTTGCTTGGAGCGAGATTTCGCTGAGTTACATAAACGCATTGTATCACTCCATGAAGGACCGGATCTATGAGGTTATTTTGAATAAAGGAGGCAGTACTCAATTTTGAAATTATTATTATTATAATTATTTTAATTTATAAATATTATGAATAATACTTTAAATAAAGCTCCTTTCGAAAAAAAAAAAAAATTAAATAGTTTAAGTGCGTCTATTTTAGTGACAAAGAAAAACGTGTCTTTTATTAACAGCTTTCAATAAATTAATACAAAATCAGTTGTTTTGTATAATAAAAAATTTTCTGAATTGTTCACTTGAAGAATAATCGAATAACGAAGAATTGCTTTCTAAATAAAAGTTATAAAGCAAATATTAAGGAAAGTACCAGTGCGTCTAACCTAAGACCAGCAGGAGTTTAGTTCACTGGAGCTCAAACTATCCCGTTAATTTATAGTTATTGCTAATCTATTTGCATCTTGCTTACTTTACGACGACTACAAATAAAACACAAATTTAGAAAAAACAACAATTTTTCTTCTTTAATTAGAAATCATTTTTTCTATGAGCTCTCTCTGGATATCAGATGAGTAAAGATCCAATTAATTTTAAATCAATCTAAAAATAAATACTATTAGCGCCTTTACCCCGATCCACGTTAAGTTTAAACATATTACAATTTGCATGCAATTGCGGAAAAAAAGAATTGCAATCTCTCTTTATTATTGTTTATTAATTTCCTAGTGAGTGTATGTCAAGGGTGTCTATGGGGTGGATGTGCTCCTGCATAGGAGAGAGGATACCTGCTCTTAGCATGGCTAACGTCGCTGTGCGGCTGGAGGCGGCATCATTGTATGATCATCACGGAAGCCAAAATTTTGAATGAAACTTAGTAGATAATCCTTGGTAATAGGATTCTTGATGCTCTCCACGACGGCTGCAATGAAACGTCTGATTAATATCTGTGGCAATGTCGTATAGAGCGAAACACTTACAGACGGCGGTGTTGAAGCTGTTGGGCAACTTTTTGTCAGTTCGCTCACGCATAAAGTCCCAGTTACCATATTGATTCATGGTGCATTCCACAATCTTGTTATCTAGCTCACGAACCTCCTTTGTCAGCTTTTGCATGCGACCGAAGGGAGCATCATGGCCGCCAACATAGAGAAAGCCAACTTTCTTGGTCAACAGTCTAGGGAAAGCATTAGAAAATAATTCATAATCAATAGGATACAATTGATCTAACGTGATATTAAAAGCGAGTATGAATAATGACAAAAAAGAGTAACGACTGACTAACCAAGGAAGTGCAGACAGTATAACTAACAGCAGGCAGGGCTTATGAATGTATAAACTTTTAATTCGAGTTCAGAATATAAGGAATTTGTCTTACCCCTCGCCGCGTTCTGTCGTTATCTTTAAGCGAAAGTCGACGGAGTTGAGTTCATGTGGTTTCCATTTAAAAACGTCTACGCAAATGCCAGCCGTATACGGCTGCTGTGAGGGCTGGAAGATGAGGCCGTCGGGCTCATGAGCTAGTGAACGTGAAAACTTCTCGCCCAATAGACGGGCCGAAGTGCGTATATCCCAAAAATCCTTATTTCGCACGCTAAAGGGTTCCAGGGCACGGTTAATAATGCCGTGCTTCATGGCAAGGATGCGTGGACCTTGGAGCAAAGAGTTGGTAAAACATAAATACAAAATATATTGATGATTCGGTTCATTCCCGCACACCTATAACATCATTTTTAATATAGTCCAGCCGATTTGGAAAGAATGGTTCCTCCCGCACATCCCGGCCCGCTAGGCGAACAATGTCATAGACAAGATACCGTGGCGTCACGGTGTCACCAATCTTGTCCAGCACCATTTCCTGCAAATGTATCAAAAATTATAAAATTATTTTAACATGGCTTTGAGACGTCATCTAAATCACTTACGCCATCCAGCAGTGTGCCATCGAGATGATCGTGAAGATTTTTGCCACTGACAAAGGACATGTTCTCCACCTGAAAGCAGGAGTTATTGCGATCGAAGAAGTATATCTCCTTGCGTCCATCAATTAGCATCATGTATCGTGTGCCATCTGCTTTCCACGAAACCCTGTACGGTATCTCGCTGAGCCTCTTGATGTTGTGCCGGTCCATCGATACGGGTTGCGCTCCAGGAAAGCCATTCTTCTGCCAGTGGCACCAGTCCTGCACCCGACGCTGCAATTCACCGACACGCGGCTGATCTGTCACTTGCCGCACGCCGGGTACACCGGCCATAAATGCCGCATTCTTGACGATTAGCTCACGACGTCGCTTCTTCTTTTGTTGCCCATCGCCGGAGGCGGCGCCCTCCTCACAATTTGCATTTGAATCGCCCGTGTCCTCCTCGTCGTCCTCCTCAGCCCCTCCAGTACCAGATCCAGCTGCCGCCGCTGCAGCCTGCTGGGAAGTAGAAGAACAGTTATCATCATAGCGACGCTTTCTATTGTCGCCACCGACATTATCGTTGCCATTGCTATCATCATATTCCAAACACCAATTGGGCTGCTCTGGGGCCTGAGGAGCGTCCTCCTCGTCGTCATAGCGACGGAAGAGTTCATTGATATAATCCTGTTTGTATATGCCCGGTGGACGGGACTTTGCAAACACGGCAAGTGCCCCCTCTACAGAGCAATCCATCTTTTCCACCATATACGAGATGATAAGAAAGCCCGTGCGATTAAAGCCGTGTGTGCAGTGTACAGCAATAACGTCCAACGGTCGCTCATTGATGAAGTTGTCAACCAATTCAATGAAGCTGTGAGTCTGCTCCGGCGATGGAGTTTCGCCATGACCCCGACACTGCAACTTAATGTACTGGGCGCCCCGCTCCTCCACAACGCTGCGATCATAAAATCGTTTTGTGTTCGTCAGGTCAATCCAAAGGCCCAGTTTTAGCTGTAAGATATTCGACACACATTAACACCTTTTTAAGCCAACACGCCACCTCTGACAACTCTTACCTTAAGCGTTTTGCAGTAGTCAAAGAGCATCTCGGGACGAAAAGTGCATTCGATGGGCATCTTGTCTTGGAAGGATTGGCTTAGCGGTGTTTTGAAGGCGAGGAACCGGTCCGCTATGATTGAGTCGCTTTTTCGTGGACAGTAAAGCCAACGGTTGGGCAAAGGGCCTGAGCCCCGTTCACGCTCGAACTGTGACATCCCGAAAGGGGAGACGATGGACTAGTTAACTGGATATGAAAAAAAATCTCAGAGCCACCTTGGCATGCAATTAGCGTCACGGTAACTAATTCGTTTTAGAGATTGCTGCCAAAGCGCTATGAATCGCGTTAAATGTCGCGTTTCGATTGTATTATTAACTTATTCAGATCATCTTCAGGGTAGCACAGACAATTTCGGAAAGTGATTGCTTAGCTTGATTGCCCGTGTGTTAGTGTGCGTCACGATAAATATTGCCAGATTTCGCGCATGAGTGATAGTATAATAGTGTTGTAAGACGAAATTTAAACATCGATATTTAACTTTGCATACATACGAAATTGGCTGCAATCGAGTGCGTTGGTTAATAGCGGCGCCAAGTAAAAAAAAAAAGAGTTCTGTTACAGAAACTAATGTATTCCCGAAATTATGTCATTTCCTACCTTACACCCCTTTTGCAAATAAATTAGATGTCATGGAAGAAATATGTCGATATAATTACGCTTAATAATAAGAACGTTTTTTTAAAGGCTAAAGCAATTGAAATTTAAAAAAAACTAAAAGTTGTCTGAAGAAAATTGCCAAATGAGTTCCAGTTCCGATAATTGGTCTAGTTCAAAGACTCGAAACTATCGATATATGTAATTTATAACTGTTAACGCTTTGATTTGCAGTCACTTCGCGCCTACATAAACATAGAAAAATTAAGCGAAATGACCTTTGAATATTTTCCTAAAGTATTCCAATGTATTATGCATTTGGCAACATCAAATGAAGATTTTCATAGTGTATTAACTCGCCTTGAAAATGCGCTTAAAGACAAAGACGAGCTCAAGAAAATGAAGGAAAGTACGTTAGCCGCCATTACCAAAAATTTAGGTGCATACATACCAGGTAATTTACACAATTTTCAGACCTTCATAAGGAAACGCCGAATTTGCGTATCGATATGGTGCTGGCACGTGAAGCAACAGATGTGCGTCAAGAAGAAATTAAACAAATGGAAACCGTTGCCAAAACTATACAAAGCTCATACGAATATCTACTGGAAACGGCCAACTTGTTCGACGATGAGAAGATCAAGAATATGCTTAGCTTCGGGGTTATGCGGAAGGAACAGGAGGTGCAGCAGAAAATCAAGGCCATTGAAATGGAACAGAAACTCCAGCTGGAGGGAAAAGTCGCAATGGAAGCGCGTTCAATTGGTTTGTACCCTCAATTCTCACATATATAAGAAATTAAACATACAAAAAATTGTGTGTGCGTGCAGTTCAGGAGTTTCGTAAATGGCAGCTACAATTGAAGGAAGCAGAGGAAGCCAATTCAAGGATTGTCTTAGAATCAGCTGAAATGGAGCGCTACTGGAGCGAGAAATTGGCTCGAGCCACTCAGCAACGAAACAGAAAGATTGTTTCCTTGGTGCAGCTGAGCAAGCGAATCACCGAGGTAATCATAAGGAAAATGCACTGTGCATTACATTTTTGTTCTCACACTGCCAACCCTTTCCACAGCTGAAGATTCCAGTTCCATCCGTCACCAAGGTCAAGGCTTGCGAACCCAAGGCTATGGCTCCGCCCAAGAAAGTTGAGCCGCTCGTGCTGCAGCCGGCATTGGATTTCATCAACAAGTATGCTGAGGTGAACAAAGTCGTTGACAAAGCTATTGCCATGGACACATCAATGGAGCCTCCGTTGCGCTCCATATTAGTGCTCAATCGATCGATGGACAGTTCCAATGAGCTAGATGCCACAGCAAATCCCAATAAGCAGGTACATTTTGCCCCTTTGCCCTCGCCAGCTCACACCAGCAGCATTGAGCCGCTTGATCTTCCGACTGATATGGTTGACATATCTGACATGACCTCAGAGTCGTCGCAGCCAGAGGTTGAAAATAGGCTTGATCCGAAAAATATTCCTAATAAAGTTGTGGTCGAAAAGGTTGACGTTTTGCCAACATTGTCATTCGAAATTCCTTCAAATTTAGATGGATTTGATAACCTAAATTATGATAATATTTTTCAATGCACTGAGTCTATGCCAGAAGAGGGCATGGAAGAGGATAAAAACCAATCAGAAACTATGAATTCAAATAATAATTTGAGTAATAATTCGAATAATTCCGATAACGTAAATATGATAAATTTTGACTCTTTGAGTTTCGCAAACGAATCAGAATATGCTGACAACGATTTCTTTCTAAATTTAACTGGCAGTTCAAACAACAGCTCTTATGACTTGTGAGAACCGATGAAAAATTTGAACGTACGTGTATCATTTGCCAAGGCACATAATGCCTTTAATCTACTTTAAGACAAAATTGAATAAAAAATGTAAACTATTTTATTTAAATAATGAAAATGTATAACTAATTTCAAATAAAAAGAATAAAATAATTATTCCATTTAAATAATTAACGGAAAATTATCTGTCAAATTTTTCGTGCTGATGTTGACACATGGCTCATTTTTTTTTTTTAAGAACACCATTTGCTAGTATTATTTCCTGGTGTAATATACACCAGTAGTATTTTTCTCTGAAATAAATGTCAAGCACATTGTATTTTAGCTGTTCGTAAGCTCTGGCCACACCGAGACGAGTGTTACGCGAAGCAGAAGAGTGGGGTGAGCTCTGTCGTCTAATTAATAAAACTAGCTGAAAGAAAACATGAGTTTTTAAATAGTGCAACCTGATTGCATGATATTTTGGGCGTAGGAGATGGGCCACATCTAAATCAAACTAATATATAAAATTGTCATTGATTGTCGTCGCGGACAGTTTCTGTTTTGACGTGCGCCGTTTTTATCGATTAAATTGTATATGTACGAATGGATAGTTGCGACTAGTGCTGGCGCGCAAACACACATACTCATACACATGCAGCAGCAGCACCAACAACAATAACAAAAAGAAAAGAAAAACAAAAAAAAACACAGTTGATACATTTAGAAGCGGAGCACCCTGAAAAGCTCGCAAGCAAAGCCAAACGCGGAAACTGACAAAGTGCTCTCAAGCGCTGTGTTAATCCAAATCGAGAATTCACTCGCATCGCCAGCGCTCTTAACGATTTTAGAGATGTCTTGCAAAACTGAGAGCAACAGCAATAGCAACAGCTACAGCGACAGCGGCGTAACACTTATCAGTAACAGCAGTCAGAACAGCGGTAAGTAGTAAATCAATTTAGTTATACTGTGCCCCCTCCCCACCTACCCTCATGCCAGCGAATTCTACTTTGCACTCGCTCTGTCCCTGTCGCACTCTATTGCACATGACGTGTTTCTTTGCTGACCTGTTTGTTTTCACGTTAACACAGATATTACTGATAAGATGTCAAATGTGCGTTCGCGGATTCCCGCAAATGGCAAGCCAAAACCACCGAATCAACTCCAACCGCAGCCACAGCAGCAGCATCAGCAGGAACAACAACAGCAACAACAACAGCAGGAACAACAACAACTACTACAACAACAACAGCAGCAGCAGCAGCCTCCACCAGTGACGCCCCAAAAACAGGCAATGTCTGCGGACGAGCGAAAAGCCACCAAGAAATCTCTAGTCATCGTGGTTGCAATATTTGTGGCCAGTTTGATGACCATGTTCTATGTATATGCAATATTTCCCGAATTGAATGCGTGAGTGTTGATCAAACATTTTATATTTCCATTGTATACACAAATTGCAATTCTGTGCGTAAAAATGGGATTAGCAAAGGTTTAATGAGTTATTAACATGTGCAAAAAACGTGCATAAAAAGTGGAGCAGGTTTTCCATATTACGCTATGTGTCTAATAGCAATAGATGCAAATTTTAATTAGTTAAGCTAACGGCCTTGTTCCACTAGCTACCCATATATGCATATTATTGTAAATTGTAAATCTGTAGATGTAACAGAAAACTTTGTCGCACTCTAAAGCCTTTGAAGTTAATTTAATGCCGACAAGAAAAAGACTATATGAAGTATATGAACTACACGTTATATCTATATGTATGAGCAAATAATAAATATATGTAGCTCTAATAGAAGTCGTTCTTAGGGCTCCTCCAAAGTGCCGACAGATATAATGCGAACAAGAAGATTATTCTAGATATGAGCGCCAAGTCTATAGAAGGTGTTTAACCCGTACGTTCTCAATTTTTCGCACTTTAAATTAAAGCAAGATATATATTATATATAGCCAGTTATTTATTCAGATCTTGAGCATATATGTATATATATGTGCGTATGTGTATGTGCAGCTAGATTTCCTAGTTTACTCAAAGTCGGTCAATTAGCACATAAGCTTTTATTATAAAGCATTAAATAGGGCTCTCCGCTCTAGTCGGGCATTCACGGCTCGAGCAGTCGCTGTCACCTGTGCTTGTGTCAATTCCCTCGACATTATATCGAGCTTTGCACGGGGAGCTTGCGCTCAGTAACAGTCACGCCACTTTACACTCACACAACGACACAGAGACACACACATACACATACACAGCAGACGAAGCTTGTGCATTTATTACAGTCGTAAGTAACGCTTTTTGTTTTATATCTTTTTTATGTGTGTTTCGTTTTAGCTCTGAGAAGGAACATTTGAAAATACCACGTGATATTCAAGATGCGAAGATGCTAGCAAAGGTCCTGGATCGCTACAAGGACATGTATTATTTTGAAGTGATGTTCGGCGTTGTTGTCGCCTATGTATTGTATCCTTTTCCAAAACAAATATTTAGTTAATCTGATTAACTATCACAACAACACACACACATACGGACATACATAGAGCTTTGTGTCCAGATAACGGCACTTGCGCAATAAGTTTCACGTTCGTCGCGTACTTATATTTAACCTTGACCCCATTTTTAAATACTCTACAAATGGTCAGCTTAGACCAAAAAAGAGTGTGCGACAACAGCAATAATATTCATGGTCAGCAATCGCACAACACGTGCGTCGATACACCCGCGTAAATTTCTATAATATTATGCACGGGCACGCATAATTAGCATTGAAGACGACGACGTCGTCGTCGTTTTGGCTGCATGTAGGAAGTAAAATTTACACACACACACACACATATGTACGTATGTATGTACATATACACAATTCAATGAAAACCCGTAAAGAACGAAAAGAGCGGACATGTCTCAAATTGATCAGCTGATTGACGCTGCTGGTATTGAACGAGTGCACTTTGCTTTCTCTGCAGTAGCAAGAGAGGAGCCGCATGATGACGCATACCTGGAAACTCTCTTGCTATCGCACTCTGATTTGCGTTCTCAGGCGTGTTTATAAACAAAGCAAGATAACACGAATGGCGAATTCGAAATACTCTTGGAATGCTCAAAACAATTCTATTTGTAATGTACATATGTATGTATGTATGTATGTAACAGTTAAGATAAAGGAATGTTCGAATAGTTGAGAGATTAGCACGTCTTGAAATCGACAGAAAACGCCAACATACAGATTATTTTCCACTAGTTTCAAGATGTCTTATTGCTGCGCATTTGACATTTCATAACAACAGAGACCAAGAGTATAAAAAAACGAAACATAAGCAAACACACGCACACGTTTGTGCGTGGGTATGTGTGCTATGTCTAATATACCAAAAACAGCTGAGAGCTGGCCATTCTTTCATTTGCATTGTCTTCGCTCATTAAGAAGCACGATATATGTACGTAAATATACATACACATATGATCATATATACATACATATGTAAGTATATATGTATGTATGTATGCAAATGCTCAGCTTCTGTTGGCATACGTGTGCTTGTATATTTTCATTTTATTTATTTTTTACAATTCGTCAAAGCAGCTGGCGACGCAATTGCGATTTTACGTAGCGATCGAATGATTGTAAGCTGGTTTTGTTGTTAATATACATGTACATGTACATGTACATGTATGTATGTGTGTGTAGCTTTGATCGCGCGACTGTATTAGTAAATCATTTGGTAATCATGAATGTGCGCATGTACATTCATCTGAACGCTACGTGTATACATACATGTTTGTGTGTATGTATGTAAATATTGTCCTCAATTGTACTAAAGTACGATACAAATTTTGCCCAAGGCTTGTAATCTTCATTTACAATATTTGTGTAGTTACCTACATACATATACATATAAATATGTATGTAAGTACATATACATACATAAATATGATATTTTAATTCAAGCTGACAAAAGTTTTTATTTTTTATTTACATATGTATGTATATTTTTTTATGACTAATCTTATACGCGGACTGGTAGAGTTTTTTTTTTGTAAATAAGGCATTCAATTCGAAAATATTTATACTACGTGTCAGTTTCCATTGAAAAATACTCGGTGATATATGTACGTATGTACACATACATACATACACACATACACGTATATACCTAAATATACACATACATATGTATGTACATGAGACTTGAAGTCGAATCATATATCAGGTATCAGATTTTGAAACATAGCTAGAAATGTTCTTGCTTATTCAATTAATCTAAAATTTAATCAAAGTTCTAATCCAATGTAGTCAATTGGCGTTAAGCAGACAGCGCAGAACTTGAGTCAGCACAATTTGATCAAAATTTATTGTATTCTCGCACGCTTTTGTTTTTATTTTTATATCGTATAGCGAAATGAAAACGTTTCATTAGCCATTTTATGTTATCGTTCATTTGCTTAGCTCGGGCACGTCTTGGCTTTTGGGACAAAGGCGAATGGGCGGGTGAATGTTGATTGCCGGCTGCGATCGCGATTGCCATTGTCAACTTTTGTCTTACTTGGCTATTAATAGTTAGTTGGCGATCAGCCCAGTCAGTTGGCAATTAATCTGGGGATCTGTTTTTAGAGTCTATTATCTAGACCCTAGGCAATATGAACACATGTCATTGACACACTTTATTCTACATACATACATATACATCTTACTTGAATTGGTTGCCTTAACTGAACGCGTTCTCTAGCCTACAAACATTTGCCATTCCTGGGTCGTTATTCCTGTCGATCTTACTTGGATTCTTGTACAAATTCCCCATCGCACTATTTCTCATTTGCTTTTGCTCGGCGCTGGGCGCCACGCTATGTTATACCCTCTCCAATCTGGTCGGACGCCGTCTCATCCGACACTTTTGGCCAAAGAAGACGAGCGAATGGTCCCGCCACGTCGAGGAGTACCGTGACAGCCTGTTCAACTACATGCTCTTTCTGCGGATGACACCGATCCTGCCCAACTGGTTCATCAATTTGGCCTCGCCGGTCATTGGCGTGCCGCTCCACATCTTCGCCCTGGGCACCTTCTGCGGCGTGGCTC